GGTTCTTTTGTTAGGATTGATAGCTCCATATTTAAAACATGATGTGATGCAAGGCTGCCGAGATACGATGTGTCCCACACCCTAAACGTAGTAGGATAAGCTGCGTATGTCCGTCAATCCGTACGTTATTCTCAGAATTTTCCAGTCCATCATTCGCAACAAGGGAAGTGATATTCGACGAATCTCAGTCTTTTGGACGGGAACTGTCATTTTTCTGCGGATTATTCCAGACCACTTTAATTAAAATAATTCAATTAGTAGATAATAGATCCTCTATTTTATATAATTTCCCTCGGTGGTCTCCCCCGCTAGATGGCGAGATTCAGAGTCGATCTACCGCCGGCTAGTCGTTTTCCCCAATCAGGTATCTCCCACGAGTGGGGCACCACCCCAACCGAGACAAGATCTAAGCTCCCAACCGATCTTCCAGCATGTCTGATAGTATATTGCATGCTAGCGTGTGTGTAAAAGATGAGGATGTGACAAGAAAGAGGAAGGAAAGATAACGCGCGGTCCGAGGCCCATTTGTTAGTTTTGCTCCGGAATTTGCCTGGTGTTGATCGGAGAAACCACGGAAAACTAACGATCAGATCAGCCGCTCGCTAGAATTTCCCAGACAGCGGCGGAATCCGATGTATCTGACAAGCTAGTGTTGAAAATCCAACCGCCGTTGGGACTCGATCCTAGGACCTTTCAGAGGCTCTGGAGTAACATTAGTTAATGCCCTGAACCACTTCTTCTGGTGCGCAGTACTTCAAGCTAGCTTCTGGAAAGACTATGTTCACCGTAGAGAGAGGTGCGATGGACCGACCGCACAGGTGGGGAAATGGTGAAGTGTGAATTGTGGGGGCTGGGAGGTCGAAGAAACCCCCAGCTATGACCCGTTCATTTCCCGTGCCCTGAATCCAGATCGTTGAACAGGTCTGCTGTAGACGAATCTTTATCCTCGATCTCACTGTATTGATTAGAATGAACGAAAGAGAGGTCAAATGAATGGCTTTTTTCAATACTCCGATGTTGTACGCTGTTACTTTTTGGTTGACTTTGTCGAGGTCTCTGAAATCTTTCCTGTCCTATTCATTTCTAATCATCTTCTATTTGCATTCTTCTGCAACTTCTGATTTTGCATCACAGTACAAAATCGAATCGTTCGACACTGCAGAATTTTCTTGAAACATTCATTTCTTTATTTTCAAAATTATTTAAAATATTTTAACGCCATCCAATTAATTCAATATTCAGTAATTCAATGTTGGTTAAGTCATTTATTTCCAATTATTTCATCAAAATCGCTAAGCCCTAAGATCTTGTGCAAGACGTGTCTTGGAATGTCTAGATTCATCAATAATGGTTAGAAGACATCTTAGACCAGAGTTGTCCAACTGGCGGCCCACGGTGCCATTTATTACGCCTTACGAAAGGAAATTATTAGTCAAAAGTGGAAGTCCCTTTCGTCCATTTCGGGCGAGAACATTGCGCGCCTAGCGAATGCACCCTATGAAGGTGAACACCTAAATTTCATCATCATCATCATCATCATCTTCTTCTTCTTCTTCGTAATGGTCATTGATGACTACGCTCCACGTTCTCTTCCGAAGCCTAGTCATATTTATCCCGGAGAGAGATTAACGTGTGCCATTATTGGGATCAGCTTTTCGACTGTATCCCTTGGTAAGCCAACGTTGTTAAGCCCTGAATTATGACTTATGAGGTGTTAGGATGATGATTAGTGATCGTGGCCTTTTTGAACCATCCTAGCATGACCGAGGGAAACCACGAAAACCCCGATCAGAATCGTCGGCCCCGGGATCGAACCCTAGCCTTCCCACTGCGAAGTCAGGGCGCTACGCCCTGAGCAACTTCGCCGGTATTATTGTTATTATTATTTTGTTTTGTAGTTTAGTTTACACACTCTGCTAATGATGAAACTTCCTCACTTGATTTCACTAGTGTTTCTGCACGTTATATTTGAAATATGATCCAACACGAGTTCTACACGAGTTATAAACGCACATTTCAGTGCTTCATAATGGTTTTTCATCAACAATACTAAATAATTTACAAAGTTTTTCATATAGAATTGCCTCAGGATAAGAAGACAGTAAAACCGAGTAATAAAATAACGAAAAGTGAAGACGACTATTAACAAGGAAGATAAGGTAAACAAACAACCTACAAGAAATTCTAAAACATACTTTTAATATCCCGTTTTTTTTTTTCAAAACTTTATAATTCTACAGAATCTTTGCATATGATTTGTATGACGACGCACACATATCATGTATTCCACGGCCTCTACCTGAAGGAACTTACGCAATCGCTAATTTCCGGGATTTTGTGCGTGTTGTAACGCCACTTCATGTGCACTGCGAGGTCGAGCGTGGTTGTTTGAGCCGAGTGTCGAGGGTAACAGTGCAGCGGTCCTGTCTTCTGCGTTTCCCCTGACTTGTCGGACGCGAGCGTGATGTCCTGACGCGGCTCTCGGCTCCCTTCAAAACCTCTCTCGCCACGCAAGGAAGGGGCGAATCAGGCACTACAGAGTGTGATCGGATAACAGACACCACTCCCTCAAAAATGAAGGTTTTTAAGCAAATTGGTTTTCAATCGACTATCGACTTTGTCAGGATTCTTATTGGCATTTCATTAATTCGCTCTGATAACCCCGTAAATGGAATAACAATTATTTTTGTAATTTGGGTTTTATAATAGTTTTTTGGTTTATGTAGATGTAAATACAATATTTAATTCCATTGTCAAATGCCTTTCTTTTTTCTTCAGTAATTGTTTGAAATGAATTATTGTCCATAGAACAGTCAAAATTTTCCGTAAACTACATCAAATTACTATAAAACATTTTTTATCGCTTGTTCTTGTTTGTTCTAAGATGTCCTGAGATCCAATGATTGTTTTGTGATGTGTTGTGAGACAATACTTTTGTGAAAGTTCGTTACTCAGTTTGTTTGAATTTCGAAGTGTTTATTAACTGTTCGGCGCATAGACTTGATATGACACTGAACAATTTTCTCTGCGGCTATATATCACAGGTAGAACTGTTGAGAATTGTTGCTGAATGTAGGAGAGAACTGGCCGACCATGGCCGTAAAATAAGAAAAATCGAACAAGAAAATAACACAATATCAATAACCATATTTGAAAACCTAAACTGCGATTGTGTGCTGATAAATTGAAAACCGAGAGAGTGTTCAACTTTCCTATTACTCAAAAAAGAAAAAAGGTCCACCAACAAAAACAGGGACCAATGTTATTGAACGACACCGGCGCAAATGAATAGTTTAAAAAGTGTGTGTGTGTGTGTGTGTGTGAGCATAATTGTTAACCTTTAAATTAACTATATATTGATTGGTAATTAACAGAGGATGTCTAAATAGTTAATGCTTGTCACACACTAAAAAAGATCTAGTCTCCAAACCTCTGTTCTGCAAATATCACCTTGTAAGAATGAATTGTACAGAGAATAATTGTAAATAATATAGACAATACGCTTACACCTTAACGAAATGTGTACTATGAATCATGGCGTTAACGAGGCCAAAACGCCCTCTTTAGAGAGGGACGAAATGCAGGCGGAATAGGCGGGGGCGTAGCGCAGTGCAGGCCACTCCTCCGCTCACTTTGACTGAGCCTCGGGGCGCGGGGCGATGACGGCGCAACGAGGGCGGAGATTCGGCGCGCGGCCCCGCCCACTTGGGTCAAGACCACTTGGCTCGCGCCACCGCCAACGCCTCCCGCGCGGCGACAGGGCCAAGGGCGCGGAGGGGCGCGGGCGGCGGCCAGCCACCGGCGACGGCGCTGAAGC